TTTGGAAACTCCAACAAGGAGGACAGTAGAACAGCCCAGCATTCGCAGAGGCACACATTTTTGAAGGTGCACCTGTGATGTTTGATATACATATATATATACTTACGTGAACGTAGTTCCTATTTTCGTAGTTAGGTTGAGGTGAACTAGGGAGGCTTCCGCCCTCCGGAGCAGAAAAATCGGTATGCTAATTGTATGCGACTGATGCTTCGAATAAAAGAGCACACGGAAATTGGTAAGACATATATTTCCATTAACTGTTTTATCCAATCGTCTGACTTTTTCCGAGGGCAAAAATGGTATGAGTTCCAACCAACTGTTGCCGTGTCCACGATCAGTTGAAGATACTTCTTGAATCATATTTAAAGATTGAAGGAATCGAAATTTTCAATTAGACTGATAATAACGCATTTGGTAACGATGCCCTCGAATTTAAGACAAAACGTGACAGCAGGATATGCCTGCAGAGAGTTGCCGCCCACCGAAACCAAATTCACCTCTTAAAAATGAGGGTGGTTCATTGATATTAGAGCAAACAAACAAACTTGAACGGTAACTGTTTTCTACTGACGCTAGATTTTTTTTGTTTTTACCCTATTATATCTGTTTTTTCTTCTGTTAACTAATGAGGACCTACAGTAAGCTTCCTATTTTTGGAAACCGTTTGATCTCCTAAACTGTAAAGACCTCGTAGGTAACGGAGAATGTTGTCGATATTTTATATGCAGGATAGCGCAGTATTCTACATCGTGACCAATCTTTCACCTCTTTTTCAAAGTTTTCACCGGCTTCGCACTACAAAGCAAAAAAATATGAGACACAATGCCTTGTTTTTCTAAGGATTTTCTGCTTTTCATTATTCCACGGCATGGTGGATGCGTACTTTTACCCAAAAGGGCGTCATAGAGTAATTATGCTAATCCATCGCGCTAACCCTCGACACCCAATCAATATCACAAAGTCGCGTTGATTATAGAGACGTGCCACGTAATGGTGGAATTTGCAGTCGATGCCGGATCATAATCGTCATTGTCAACCATATGGAGGAAAAGAATGAGGAATCGAAAATTATTTTACGTAAGTTAGGCATAGTTGCCAATACCAATGTTTCTTCTGAGTGAGTCACTACAAGAAGAATAAATGGTCATCAGATTAAAGTCACTCCTCCAACGCTTTCTGTAGTTGTTACGATAGC